AGATGAAAGTGTTACTGTAAGTATAGGGCTCGGGATTATACTCTCTTAAGGATGCACAGATGGGAGTACATGGATACAGTTTTATTCACCCTTTGATGACAATATCTATGCCACTTGAACTCAAACAGACCACATTACCCCCTCAGTTGGTAGAAAACAGGGCTATGGTGGTATAAAAGAGATTGGGAGCGACTGCAATGTGAATAACCGTATAGATTGCTACAGTAAAGGGAACAAGCAGTCATGTGCAAAAGGTAGTTTTCACAGCTGCCAAAAACTAAGTACAACTTTACTGCTTTCATAGCTATTGAGGGTCAGTAACACCCAGGTGCTGCTAATCAAGTGCCATGTGAGGCAGCAAAGCTTAGGCTTGCAAAGTTGCATCTGAACAAACCACAAGACTTCTGGAACAATGTGCTTTGAACAGCCCAGACCAAAGTGGAGACATTTGGCCCCGAAAACCAAATACAGCAAATCAGCACAAACACGTCATACCATGTGTCAGCACAGTGGTGGAGGGGTGATGATATTGGCTTGTTTTGCAGCCACTAAGTCAACCGTGAACTCCTCTGCATGCCCAAGTATTCTGGTTAAAGGTGTCATCTGTCCAACAACTAAGCCACTTAAGCCTGGATCAAACTGGGTCATGCAACAGGACAGAAAGTCAGAGAAAGTCCAAACCTCAACCTGACCGATAAGATCAAACACTAAAATTCCTTGATGACACAATTGTCTGCGAAATCATTTACAAAAAAAAAGGGACACCAATTCTGCAATAAAACACAAACCAGGACTTTTCTAACTAAAACTACACCAGCAATGTTTCTGACTGGAGCCGTGGATGCCAAGTATAAACCACGTAAAAAGTTACAGGTTTTAAAATGAAAGGGTATGGAAGTCCCATGAGCTCAAGCTACAATATGAATATGATGAGAGGGAGCTGTGACTAATGAAAAAAGTGCTTATGTGAGCACATACGAGAGGGGAAAAAAATGCCCAGACAATGTGTCAGAAAGTAGTGGCCACACATTTATTTCAGGACGCAAGATGCAGCATTGTGCAACTTTACATTTCTCTGTGCAAGATCTCAAGGTTCACATGGAACTGAAAAGATAAATGAGAATTCCTAGGAACGGGCGAGGGGAGAGGAGAGATGCCACGCTAGAGCCGTTAGCGTCATCTGACCGGCACTAACTGCTGTGTCTGCACTTAACTCTATCGGCCACACCGCTTTGCTGAGGACGTGCTAAAAAGTTTTCTGCTGCAAGTGTGGTAACCACAGAGCGGCATGGAAAGAAAAACTGACTAATAAACACAAGCCACAAAGTTGTTCTTTCCATTCCGCAATGCTTGCATAGGAACCATCAGTTAGACGATCAACTTGCAAATGTGTCAAGATGAGTTTAAAAAAAACAAACAAACAAAAAAAAGCAACAATGATGCAACAAACACTGTTGCATCACATGTCTCACATGTCACAGTTTACAAAGGACAAATTACACAAAGAGCTTTGGTGTAATCGTACAGAGTTTCCAATGATGACAGACTAGTTGTCAAATAAAACAATAAAAAGAATCTCACTGTGAAAAAGTCGCTGTGTGACAGATGTAAGGATTTTTATATAAAAACTGACAGGGGAAAAAAGACAAAACATTGCAAGCTGTGGCAGAAAGTAAACATTTAACAACACCGGAGGAGCTTCATTCTGCTTAATGTGAAGAATGCCTCTGCAAGCATGTACCACCAACATGGTTTCTATTACAAAGCACGACACTGGTACACAAAATAATTTAATTAAGTCATTTTATAATTGAATCATGTCACATTTTGCTGCTTTTGGCATGTTGGAAAAATGAATTTTGCTCTGACAAAACAATACATCACAAGAAAGACACACAGCTCACAGAAGAAAACACCTGAAATGCAGACGTTATTGGGTCATGCAGTGTTTGACAGCCAGTACTTCTCTCTGGCTTGATGCCATTAAGTCATTGACCTGGGCCAGCTGAGCTGATGGGTCAGACAGAGATTTAAAGGAGCCGGAATCCAAAAAGTCTGGAGTATTAGCATTTGTCAGGCAGGGACCTTCTCTAAGCTTCTCCCTGTAGCTGCTGTCCCATTATCACAAGTGCACTGCCCACTCTTAGCTGGGTGGGCAGTGATTAAACCTCTCTTAAACCCACATTAGCTAAAACTTTTTATTGTAAATGTCTGAATGTTACACAAGTTAAAAAAAAGTGTTCTACATCAATTCTTTCAGTTTCCTGTAACTGCCTTTGGGCTAATTTGTATGTAATTTCTTATAATGATTTTTGACACTTAGTCTCACTCAGGTAATTATAGGCCCTTTTTTTAAAGGGCTGGAGACATTAATGTAATGAGCTGAGCCAAAAATGTGACATCAACAGACTGAATGGAGTGGCGTCACTGCATGATTCATGACTCCTTCACAAGAATCAAACCAGCCATTTTTGCAAACCTGGCACTGAGGAATATGGACATGCATGCCGCCTCCTTGGCTCTCTAATTTTAGGAAGTCTGACAAAAAGCCATACACCGAGCAGCACGTATAACATCTTCTTCATGTATTCCGTTTTTGTGTAATCATCAAATGACATCGCAGGATGTTTGGATCACCTTGCTGTAACAACTCTACCTACATTGAGGTGGTACTCAAATTTAATAGAAAATAACCAAAACTGAGTAGAGCAAAGTCCAGCAGTGTTGAGTAGATGCTAGCGGAAAAGAGGCTTTAATGATCATGAGTGTCATTTTCTGAAGTTAGACCCAGCTCCTTTAAAGGCCGTGCTATCAAGGCATTACAAGTAATATAAAATTTTGAATTTAGAAAATAATACTTATCAAAACTCAACCAATTGCTTGCAAATTATTAATTAATCATCTTATAAAATGTAAACATGCACTTGTTGTGGTAGTGACATGATGAAAGAGGCAAGGTGTGCTTATAAAGAAATGAATACAATTAGTATTGACACAGAGCTTTGGCCATGTGTTGTATGCCATACAATAAAACTGGTAATCTATGCTTCCCTACCTATGAAACACATGTACAGGGAATCACAAGACCTATCACAAAGAGAGGCACACAAACACACACCTGCTGTAGTGGTTCATCTATGAAACTAGAGCCTGTGAGTCTTCTGTCAATTTTTATAGGCTTCATCTCCAGCTTCATCTCATCCAACGTCTGAAAGAGACAAAACATAACCCACAGTGAGACAGGAGTAAAGTAATCAGAGAAAACTTTAGTGACCTCCGTGACATCTGGCAGGCCGGGTCATCTGTTTGTGCAGGCGAGGTCAAAGTGCGTGTATTTTACCTTCAGTATACCAATTTGTGTGGGTGGTAAGTACGAGTGCTCGCACTTTTCCAGGTGTTTCTCCGAGTTAATCTTTCCATAAAGCAAAGTGACCGCAAAGCCCCTGCAAAACAGAAGTGTAATTTAGAAATCAGCAAAAAACCTATGAGCCAAGCTCCTGATGTGTTGTGGTTAACTGTGAAGCTTAAAGAGGTTAGATTGTCTTCAAAGGTCTCACTGCTCACCCTCCAATGAAGCAGAAGATATAAAAGGCCAGGTAGAATATGGCAAAGGGTCCAAAAGTGACGAGGAACAGCACAACTCCAAGACCCCCCCATCCCCAGATGGACAGACTGGCCTGAAACACACAAGACAAAAAAAACACATACTCAATACACAATTCAATTCACCCCATACTCAGCTAGACTGATGATAATATTCTATAAACACATATAATGACCATCAATGGTCCTCCACAGAGCAGAGGGGAGGAAGATGTCTGCGCAGGAAGACATTACATAAAAGAGTGTCAGACAAGAAACTGTGTGTGTGTATAATCCTGTACAATCACATCCTATGGTGTTCCTGTTGTTGTCAGTACAGGAAACAGAGCTCTTTTCGACCCTTTTCCAGCTCCAACTTTAGCCCATAGTTACTTCAGTATCTCCTTTTTTAGCCTTATCATATTAAAAGGTACAGAAGAAGCTTTTTAAAAAAACAAAACAAACGAAAACATAAGCTATACTGATAAGTTATGTCCCCTAAGTGTATGCTTAAGGTCATGATAGCAGGTATGAAACCTCAGGAGGGGTCTGCTGCACACATTAAACCAGGCCGCGGCACCTTAGAAAATAGCTGTGAATGTGTTGTTATGAGTTACAGCTGCTTATACAAGGATCCTTAAATGTTCAAGGAAAAAAGAAGCCTTCAAAAATGTTCTCACTGTGAAGCCATCAGAGTCACTGACAGGCATCATGGTCAGTGGTGATGATCTTCGGCTGCCTCACATTCATGTTAGAGTTCCTTAGATAAACAAATCCTGTGACGGAGCCAGAGAGGAGCACACAGAGCTTCCTTTGGACACTGAGACATTGTTCTCACTGTTACAGTCGACTGCCACCAGTCGGATGACACACATTAGACTAGCTGCCAACAGTGTCACATCCATAAACAGAGGCCAGTCAGTTTACTGTGTATATATACAGAGCTAGACTAATTAGTAGGGCTGTTTGATATAACGATATATATGGGATGACGATATAAAAACGTCTATCGTTTCATTTTACGCTATCGTTTGTTTCATGGTGTCTCAAAATAAACTGTTTACGGCAATATTTTTCATCGTTTTGATGGTCACTGTAGTGACTATATTAATTTCTTACAGTTCTCTCTTTCGCTTATATTTCATATAAACACACTACGGACAGACAAGCGCCTGTTTTTATGCATTGTCGTTAGCAACAACGACGATAAACCCATCGTGTGTCCGCTTGTTTATGTTCCACATAAACCTTTCACAATAAAGCTCAAGATCTTGATGAGACTTTTCAAAATAAACTGAATCACGTGAAAGAGAATGCAGAGTATTTACGGATGAGAAGCAAAAAAGAGCCGTCAGGTGCTGAAAAATAAACCTTAGAACAGGCTTTTACGCTGTGTAATAAATACTCACAAAGAAAACGGCGGCCGTTACAACTTATGTCTAAAAATGCATCCTTTAATGCATCGGTTAAAACACTCGACTCCAGGTACACGACACCCAGCTGGAAACACTTCACGCAAGTTGAGCTGCCCGAGATTCACAGAATTTACAAAAAATGTTAAATCTTTGTGATTTATATTGTTATTGGATGATAGATGTCTTATATCGGGATATGAGTTTTGGTCATATCACACAGCCCTACTAATTAGTGCCAAATACTATTAAGGCATATGGACAAATGAAAAGAATAATGAAGAGTGATCTGTGGCTCCACAGACATGCAAATGCACAGTTTTCTTGCTTAACGCTAAAAGATAACTTAGCTATCCAAACATCCATCTTCTTCAGTTCATCCAGGCCTGGTTCTGGGGGCAGCAGTCCAAGCACAGAAGCCTAGACCTTCAGTTTATCTGGGGGAACACCAAAGTGCTCAGGGGCCACCCGAGAGACATAATCTCTCCAGCGTGTTCTAGGTCTGCCCCAGGGCCTCAGACTTGGAGGTGCCGATTCTCATTCCCGCTGCTTCACACTCAGCTGTAAACTGCTACAGCGCGAGCTGGAGGCCACCACTTGATAAAGCCAACAGAATCACATCATTTACGAAAAGCAGAGACGAGATTCTGAGACCACCCAAGTGGAAATCCTCCGCCACTTGACTACGCCATAACAACTATGAACAGAGTCGGTGATCTAGATAAATGATGATAAAAGAGGAGTGAACATGTTTGAATTAATGAACCTCAATTTACAGTACTGGCTTAAATGTACACTCTACACTGTAGCCTGATGTGAAAAGTACACATATGAAAGCTATGTTAGGTCTTTCAATAATATCCAGTTACACACATTTTGTTACCATTATAATTTAGGAGTAAAAATATGCTATATCTACGGTAAATGGACTGGTTCTTATATTACACTATTCTACTCATCATAGCACTTTACTAATTGGCTCATTTACCAATTCACACAATCACTTTTTTTCTATGCTCTTTCTATGTAAGTGCTTTCATTCATTCTCTGACAGACACATTGGAGAGCAACTTGGGGTTAGTATCTTGCCCAAGCATATTGTGCCATGCAAACAAATGCAGGCTGCATGAACACCAACCTTCCGATTAGCAGAAGACCTGCTCTACCACCTGAGCTACAGCCACCGCCCATGAAGACCATGATGCACCAATCTGTTTATTAACTTAATTAGCACTGGTGTCACCGGTTTTATGCATTTCAGTTTTAAAACAACGACGACAACAACAACAAACCGCACAATATTCATTACGTTTGTGACATTTGTGATAGCAGAAGAATACACAAACACCAGCACATTGCCCACTGCAATATTGGCTCGATGGAGGAGTTCAAGACTATAAATCAAGCTTTAAGCTACTGTGGAGGAGCTGATGTGATGCGGGATATGAGTTTTGGTCATATCACACAGCCCTACTAATTAGTGCCAAATACTATTAAGGCATATGGACAAATGAAAAGAATAATGACGTTTATGATTATGACGTTAAGGACCAACAATGGTCAGAGCTATAGGCAATAGAGAGGTATTTTTTCCCCACTGATGCATTACTCAATATCATTCATAATAAATTTAATCTGTCTCGCTATAGTTTGATGTCGCACATGCAGCCCCAGAGCACACAGGTAAGTGCACACACATTATTGCACGGTGTACTTACGAGGTCACTAGAGGAAACAGGAGGATATTTCAAACTTCAGCCTGACATTTTTGTTTATATGGCAGAACTCTAATTAAAAGTGAATAAATTAATTAAATTAATAAATTAAAAAGGAAAGAGCCAGTGAATTTTATGACATCAGCGATGCCACAGCGGACAACAGGACAATTGGACTATGAAGCAAACTGACCATAGACTGGTTTCAGTCACATGTATAAATAACAGTGAAACCTGCTATGACGTACGGCTTGGAAATGGCTGCACTGGGAAAAAAAGACAGGAGACCGAACTGCAGGTGGCAGAGTTGAACATGCTAAAATTTTATACAGAGCTGCCAGGCAGGAGGAAAAGAAGAAGATTCCTGCATGCATTAAAGAAGGACATGCAAAGGTTGGGTGTGACTAAAAAGGATCCTGACGATAGGGTGAGAGGGAAGAAGATTATCTGCTGTGGTGTCCCCACAGGGACAGGCCTGAAGAAGAAGAAAGGGATAGGTATCCTAACATCTGGGTCATCATAGGTTTAAAGACAACTGTGAAGCTTCTTTTCATTCAAAACAAAGTTCCTACACGCAGGAATGCTCAGTGAGGAGTACAATGTAGAACTCTCTTTTTTGTCTACTACATAGCCCAATATGTTTATGAATGTTTTTCATGTTAAAAAAATGGGAAATATGTAAATTTTGGTATGCACTGCCCACTTACTTCATACAATATCTCTGAATTTATAGATTCTGAATTTAAGTAGTCTAATACTGGTTGCTATTGTTCAGATGGGTGTGCTTGCTGACTTGACCGTGTCAGCATGAACGTCTTTATTAAAACTGGCCATAATTGTTTGTCCTGGTCCAGAACTGGAGCAGATAAAACTAGAACAAACACAGCCTCTCAGTTGGATCAGGATGGAAAAAGCTGATAACGGGCAATTTGAAACAATAACTTCACTAGTACTCGTTCAGATCTTAAAGCAAAGCATTTTTAAAGTCTTACTCTGAAGCACTTTGGACCGCATATGCGCACGAATAGTGTTACATAAGTAAATCTGACTTGAGGTGAACTTAAGACGTCCCTCCTCACCACATCAGCTGAGGCTAGTTTCACAGTAAATAGGATAAATTAAAACCTGAGGCTGATGGCTGTCACTGAGGACCTTCTGACCCTGATGTTGCTTACTCATCAGAGTCAACTAGACAGGCACTGACAATGTGCAGGCCAAGACATATGGGTCACATTAACAGAACAGCAGGATCTTTGAGAGTGCCTTGGAATAAATGCTGCATACCTGCCTGTCACTTTGTTTACAAATGTGGTTATGGGAGAGGCAGGAAGTATTAGAGGACATTTATATACAGTGTAAAAACCCTGTTGGGTACATGCAGTTCTCCACCCTATATTTCACCCTGTCTTGTACCAAGGGTGACATAATTTCACTATCTCAGTTGCATAAGACATTGCAGTTTTTCTTATTGTTGAAACACCTTAACTGACTACACAAACACTGGAAGGACAATTTCCAACCTTTTCCTCAATTTCTTGCCTCTACTATAAAAAGCACAATTTTGATCTATATGGATGTAAAGAAATCAACTACTGCGAACATTGACTATAATAAAATGTCTCAAACTTATATGAATAAACTGAAGCCCAGGCTGCAGAATGTGTTCAAACTGGCTAGACTAACCCTCTTCCGTAAGTCATAAAGGGCGAGAACAAAGTCACTGATTGCAGGGTTGGGAGGAGAAATAGGGCTGGCCAGTAGAGAGAACCATTATTACAATTTAACTAGGAGTGTAGCAACACAGAGGAATGCTTTTCAGAAAGGTTGCCACAAAATGTGACCATCTAAAACAGATCCACGTGTCCTGATATCTAACACAACCAAGAGAACTATAACATATCAGCCAGAATCCTTTTATCATTTAAAGGAGATCCAAATTAAACCAAACAAAGAAACAGTCTGAACTGTTGTTCAATTTCCTCCCACACTTACATCACAGGGAACCAAGCAGGTACATTTTCAGGAGTGTTCGAAAACTTTTTACCAAACCAACAAAGTCATATTTACTACCATAAACTACATGCTCAGCCTGATGGTAGTAAAGAACAATTATAATACATCACCATCACACACGCTAACAGTGTGATGGTGTAGTAGTAACTTATGGATTTTGTTAAAGATTTCCGCTAAATAAGATCCGGGTCAAAAGTTAGCAAAGCTAATGCTTGTGACAAACACCTGAATAAAGGCAGAGTGCAACTAAATTTAGCCCACAGTGGAGGGGCAACCAACTTTCCACTGACTTTGTATTTGGTGAAGGTGCCTCCCTATCAAGTGGCTTCACTAAACTACAGCAGCTTGTCAACACGGAACCAACATCAGACGTGGCTGAAGCCAGCTAGAAGCATTTCATTTGCATTTCAGCTCCTAGATATGTATAATATATATTTGTGTTTTCCTTCCAGCTGGTGCAGAGTGTAATGTGTTGTGCTTTGTCTATACTAAAATAGGACCAAAACAGTGACATATGTACAGTACATATGTCACTGTGTACAGAGTACAGTGACAACAGTGACTCTGTACTCACCAGAGCAAACCACAAGCTATGCTGTGCTTACTGCAGCATCCAGCAGTTAGTTAGGCAAATAATTTTATTAATCATCTTAAACATGTTTTTTAATAAATTAAAAACACAAAAGGTAAGTAATGAGTACACTTATGAGAAAGAGTGTTTTTAGATGTACTGAAGCATATACAGTCTGATCAATTACACCCTTTAAAATTCTGTGACTCCTGAGAAAGAGCCTGAATGTAGTTCAAAAGGGAAATGCAAGTATATGTTCGACGTCAGTGGTGCTAGTAAGCAGCAGTGAATGTGCACGCTATCAGTAGGACTGTGTGATGAGACTGTGGAGGCTTGGCTCTGTAGAAGAGATGATAACTGACACTCGTGAGTCATTACAGCTTACACAGGGCTTAAAACATGAACCATCTGTTCCAGTGATTAACACCCAAGCCCATCAGGGATCCTCACATCTGAATATCTAGGCAATTCCTTATGCAATACACACTAAACAGACACTCATTAACACAAAAGTGACAGTATTAAAGGCACTGGGCGAGATCACAGATGCAGATGGGCACTGAAGTACCGCTCTCATGCATTTCAAATTGTTAAAAAGTGGCTGGATGTTACAGCATGGCTTCAAAGAGAATTTCAGAAGACATGTTTAAAAACATCTGTCAAAACCTGCTTCATCATCCTGAAAGGATGCTCAGGGATAAAAATCATTACCTGTGTGAATATGCTGGCCAAGGATCAAATACAACAATATAATTGTGGACTTTACTAGGCTTCAAACAAAGACATATTTTTATTTTCTAAACTTTAATTATAACCAATTTAATATTTGTGTTTTAATATTTCTTACAAATTTACTTACAAAGTAGAAGACAATCTAGAATTTAAAAGGAGTCAAACACACAGAGGCAGTGTGTTTTGAAGAGCGCTCTGGATGCCCTTGACTCCAGGCACATTCAGATATTCACACGTAGCCTCTTATCAGTGTGTCTGAGAATATTTTTTCCCTAACTTTCCACCATGGACGTGCACACACACGCATGAAGAACTTCTCAAGGGTAGATATTTCTATTTTTGTGATCAATGTAAGTCCTCAAGTGCTTAGCTGCAAACCCTGGGCAGTGTAGTCATTAGGTGAAAGGTTAACTCAGCCCATTAAAGCTCTCCTGTGGGAGATCATGCCTGAGAGAGAGAGAAAGTAAATGGGTCTGACTGATCGTGCTGGCCTAATCCACCAGGACCACTGAAATGCAAAGAGCTGCTATATTAACCTTAGGATCAAAAAGGCAGAAGTAGTAATGATGTTAATTTCCAGAGAGGACAAGAAATGTTGTAGTTCACTTCTCTCCAGGATTTGAACTTTATTACAAATTAATAACAGCATACTAATGACCCTGAAAACTGAATGAGCAAATGGTCCAGCTTGTTTTGTCTAGTTCCCCTGAGCTGTGGTTTGATACTGTTATTACCCTGGGGAGGGTAAAGTGAGCCACACCCCTCCTCTGTCACAAACAGTGTCCCCAGCTGCTACTTTTCACCTTCCAGTGAGAAGCAGCCCCAGGAAGGCAATAACTGGGTATTTATACTCATTATGTATTCAGCTAGTAGCGATCATCAGGTTGGCAGTAACCCAACTAGAACTGAAACTGTAACACACAACCAAGGAGCATGCGATGGGAACGGAACTTAAGCCTTATCGAGGCGCTGCAGTAATCATGACTGTTAACAACTCCAAATCTGATGAATCATGTGAGCTGCGTCTTGTCTCGACATGACCTAGACACACTGTACATATATCTGGATGAAAACACAGGTCTGAACAGAGCTTAATTCATGAGAGCTGTGAGCCTCTTTGGCAGGGCAACAACTTGTACAGCACGTAGAAGGAAGAGGAGGTACACTAGCAGGCCTGATGTGACAGCATGCTGGACTTAATATCTACCAAGCTTTGATTAAGGGAGCTTAACGAGGTTTAGCAAGTGCTAAAAAGCACAGAGATAACGCTGTGTGACTGTGGACGAGCACACATGCACTCCCATCAAACTCAATATACAAAGGTGAATTGATCAAGTTGTGCAGACAGGCCACTCACTCACAGAAGCAACTAAACTACAAAGGACTACATAAAACAAAGCGAAATCTTTCATTGATTTCTTACTAAGGTTACCAGAGACTAACATTTCCAAATAGCAACTAAGCCAACTAAGTGTAACACGTGACTGCCCACCTCACCTGCAGCTCAGATGAGGTGGGCAGTCTGCTCTGTTAGCTGTACTTTCAGGTCGCTAAACTGGGGGGCATCCCGTGAGATGTAAAGAAAAAAAATCTCTGCAACCACTGATCAACAACAATGGCCTTTATTAATATTTCAAGACAAGCCTGGGTTAGGCCGTTTAGATGTGTATGAAAGGAGGGAAGAAGCCTGTATGACTGACAAGCTTATCCACTACATTTCAACTTAACATCAGTCATTAATGCCTGAAAATTTATTTCCCACACCATTCACACTGTCTGCATCTAGGTGTAACAGCGTAACACGTTTATTATCGACATAAACGTTTGCATCCAATGCTGATTGATCAACAGTGGACTGCAACTGCGCCGATACAAAAATGTAACTTTCCCTAGTTAGTCTCTCTAGCCGTCAGCCAATATAACGCCCAGCTCACCTGTGTTCGCTGTAATGTAGAAATTCGCTTGTGAGTATCTTCATTCATAATATAAACGCAGACTACCGACACTGCCTGTGTCGAGCTAATTCCAGCGCAGTGTTGACAGTGCGCATATCCTAAGCCCGTCGTATTAACTTAGCGTTAACGGTGTAATCCCGCGCTGACTGCCACTTATAGCTGACATGCTTTGTGAAAACACAGCGGCAGCGAACAGTCCTCTCTCCCGGCTCCCGTGTTTACCTGCGGGGCTAGGCGCTAGCTGCTCCAAGCTAACTAGCTATGTCAGCCACAAACTACTGTACCAACACACGCGAGACTTTTTCACGGGAGATAACTTACCTCTGCAAACATCGTCTAAAAGGCTGTAAGTTGCGGCGGCTCTGGCTAACCCCACCACATTGTAACATGCGAAGAGGAGGTGATTTTCTTGGTTAAAATCGGTCGTATTTCCAATCTCCGTACTGTCTTCGGAGCGTCGCCATGTTTGCAAGGTTTACGTCGTGGGTGCCCCGTTTCTGGACGTGGTCACGCCATTGGCTGGGAGGCGATGACGCCACATGCAGCGATAATCACGATTGGCTGACCTAAATAAATTATTAGTTCACAAATTTCTGACAGATTGTACCCAAACTGTAAGTCATTTTCAGCCAATATTTTTTTATCTCTTGTTATCTCGCACCAGGCCCCATGAAAAAGAGTAAATAAGAAACCATCAAGTTAACAACAGCATTAACAGTTTCCAGTAAATGCAATTACAGCAAGTCGTTGAAGCCTAAAGCATCACCAGACCATCACACTACCAGCCCTATGATTAACTGTTGACTGTTTTGTGTTCTTATTATGAAATGCGGTGTTAGTTTTACACCAGATGAAACCAGATCTAAGCCTTCCAAAAAGTTCAGCTCTTTTTCTTGTAATGCCACAGAATATTTTCCCAAAAGTCATGAATATGATTTTTGCGAAATGTGAGTCAAGCCTTTTACTTCTTTTTGGTCAGCAGTGGTTTTCTCTTTGGATCTCTCCCATGGTTGCCATTTTTTTCCCCACGCTCTTTCTTATTGTTGAATCATAAACTCTTTAGATGTTTTTCTGGGTTCTTTGTGACCTGGATGAGTCATCAATGCACTCTTGGGGTAATTCTGGTAGGTTGACCACTCCTGGGAAGGTTCACTACTGTTCCAAGTTTTTACCATTTTTAAATAATGGCTCTCATCGTGGTTCACTGGAGTCTCAAAGCTTTAAAAATGGCTTTGTAAACCTTTCTAGACTGAGGGACGTCAATGAATTTGTTTCTCACCTGCTTCTTAAGATTGTGGCAGTAAGTGCTGTATTTTTAAATCTTTTAGCCTACTTCACTTTGACTTGCTCTATTTAAGTGATTTCTTGACCCAACAGGTCTGGCAGTAATCAAGCCTGGATGTGGCTACTTAAACTGAACTCAGCTTTCCAGAAAATCTAGTTAATCACAGTCAGTTCATGGCTTAGATAGCTTTCCCCTTAATAAATAGAATCTTGGTTGAAAAACTGCATTTTGTTTGGTTTACTAAGATTATTTTTTATCAGTATAAACATTTGTTTGATAACGTGAAAAATGTAAGTATGAAAAATGTGCAAAAAACAGGAAAACATCAGGAAGCTGGCAAATACTGTTTCTTGGCACTGCATTAGTTCATTTAAAGATTCAGCAGATAAAGATAAAGCAAAAGATTCTGTACAGAGGTCATAGCTTGCACCACCCAGTAAAACACAAAGTAGTTAACAATGGCTCCACCTACATAAACAGACCTCTTTCACTACACGAAAATGGTAGGTAAACAGAGGTGCCACTAATAATGTTAATTAAGGCTTTGCACCTGAAACAGCCAAACCTTCCTTAATGTTATTTGTAACAAGTGTTTTACATAATATTTCATGTCAAAATAGCTACTATTTTAAAGAAACGTCAATAATTAAATGCTAACATGACTTTCTTTCACTCAGTGGTATTTAGTAGTTTTGCTTTGATTCGCCAGTGCTCTAATAAATAGAAGAATTTTTTACTGCAGTATGTGAAGCCTAATAAATGTATGGTTTAATAATATGCCTGGCAGTCAACCTCATCAAATACATGATAACAAAGAAAGATCAGTGTGCAGTTTGATCACGTGTTTGGCAGTGGCTACCTGCAAACATGGTACCAATGCATAATTCATTGCCCGAATGCGATCTTCATTAACCTGTGCTCTACCTTACATTGCCTGGCAAAGAGAGGACATTGGAGGAGGTTGCACAAAGGGGTAGAGACAAAGGATCTCAGAGTGAATAAAAAAGATGGATGCAACAGAGATCTATTTGTTGTTCTAGGTCACAGTACCTGTCTCCGAAGTGACAGCCACATCTGAGTCACACAGCAGGTAAGGGTGAAAGAAGACAAAACAGGTGCCTGCAGGTCCACGAGAGCAGAGAGCACACATCGGACTAGCCATTCTTTAATACACAGCAACACATAAGAGGAAGCTCCTTAAGCCTTTCATGTTTCTTATGTCTCTAAATCCCTTTACTGTTTCTTGTTTCTGTCAGCTGATTGCTCGCTCTCAGTCTCACATGGGCACAGTGAAAGGTAATAACAGTAGACTTTATACCCTTGGTTTATGAGTTACACCGCTGTTGTAATCAAAACACGCGATGAACTAAATGGTGCCTTTGCAAGGTGTAGATACACCTAGGTTAATATGAGGCTATTTATTGTATGCAGTAACAAAAATAACAACCACTTGTTGATCAACCTGTTTGGGAGGTATGCTCATGTTTGCATCATAGGGCTTGGCTTTAAAAAAAAAATAAGGCCAATACAAAAAGTAACTTTGTTCCATGATTTTGCATCAAACACATGAAATGCACTTGCTCAAAAAACATAAAAACCAAGGCATCTTCAGAAACTACAGCAGGTGCAGCTTCTAATTGACGTTGTTGCATCTTTACCACTAGATGTCACCGTCAACCCAAGTTAAACTCCAATGGGGGAAACTCCAGTGTCAAATAAATCATCCTGTACACCAGGGGTGTGCCGTGACTTTTACACGAAGGCAAACCGCGAGGACCCCCACCTCCAATATAAACAAGCAGACAAGCAAACAAACTTTCCTTCAATCTTCCACTCTGGACCTCATTAAAACATACAATTCTGACAGCCTCTTGCTGCCCATTTTCTGGATGTCTACTCCTTTCTGTACTTCTGAGGAAGAATTGCTTATGTACTTATGTGTTTATAATCTAAAAATCTACTATTAGTTGACAATGATGAGTGGTGAAATTTAAAAAACAAACAAACAATAACAAGAACAACATTTACTTTAGCAAAAGTGTCAATAAAGCATAAAGAAAACACCTCACTATGCATAAATATGTATTATTGGCAAATTTTACATAAAGTATCAAAAGTAAAAGTATTTATTCTACAGAATCAGAACATCAGTGTTATATGAATAATTTCTATTACTGCGTTTTATTCTGTTTATTCCACAGTAGTACATCACATGTTTGTAATATAGCTGTCCCAAACCGTGTAGCTGTAATGTGAGAGTCACATGTTTCTAAAAAACAAACAAACCCACAAACAAATACAGCTTTTAACTGGGTCAGAAACACAGAAGTATCTTTGAGAAGTATATTAAAAATATTTAATATAGACTGTGTGATGTTGTTAACTGTCTATATCAACAGCAGGATTCAAATATTTTTGTTGGCGTATAACTAGCTGTATCAAAACAGCTGGTTAAACGTTGTACATTTGGGAAATTGAGTAATTTCTCTGGTAATTTGAAATTGTTTGTGGAGCCTGCATCTCTTTAACTTTCTTGTTTTTTTTTAAACTCGACATGTTAGGAGCTCATCTCTCTGTCATTAAAGGTTTCATTACTAACAGGTTAAACAAGCTTTTAAAAGTCACAAATGTTGGCCATTAAGAGAATAGTTATCTGTTAAAATGATAAATGTGAGTGCTCATTTTCTTGCTAATGCTTCTTCTGTTTCCACACAAAGCAGATGGTAACTGATCTCAGAGACGTGGAAGCAGTCAACAGCACCTTGTCTAGCATGTTAATCTACCATCAGTTTCCCATCAAAGACCAGAGGTTTATCCACAATATGCATTTACAAAAAATAGAAGAAGCTGCTGCCTTTTAGCTTGACAAACACCAGCCGCTGTTAACTTTGAGACCACTTACCCACACTGATTTTAGTCGCTCTATATTCAAGAGGAGTTAATCCTGCTTCCAGAGACAACAGCCAACTCCAGCCAAAAGATGGCAGTAATGTAAAGGATGCATGGGACCAGGCATGGCAGAAGACTGAGAGAAAAGGAGAGCAGTCACTTTACTTTGGTATTTTTAGTTGGTGTCTGCTTATAAGTGTCAGACAAGCACTGCTTTCCTTGCTTGCCCCGATGGAACACCTCTGCCGTACACATGAGTTACCTACACAAATCATTTCATTCATATTGTAAAATTTGAACAACAAATGAAAACTGCAGGAAAAAAAATCACCTGTTGATCGTTTGTAGAAAACAACATTGACGCATTTAATAAAATGGTAATCAATCCCATAAATAGATACCATGAAAAGATAGTTATTGTCATTAACAGTCAACATACTTCTTCCTCGTTATTCTCTTTCCTTTTAAATCTCCTCTGCATTTTAACAAACGCATCTGACTCACTGAATTTAGGCATATCGTGGACTAGTGAGTTCTAGTATATGATTACACTGAATCACAGTGATCATCTTTTACTGTATATGTTCATGATCGACCATTCAAGAGGTCTGGCTGAAACAACA